TAAAAAAAAAAAAAAAAAAAAAAAAAAGCCTAATAGCTGTTTTGAACCATTCTGGCTGGGATTTAGAGGACAATTCTGACTTTTATTCCCATGGTCAACTTTACAACTGTTTATTGATAAATCTTGCATGTTTAAAATACTGGAAGCAGGATAGCTAAGGTACTACTGAACAAAAAACTTGCATGTATGAAATGGAGAATTGCAAACATGGTTTCACTATCATGTCACATGAGACAATTAAGTCCAATTTCACCACAACTTGCTAAGTGCATTTGCTTATTGCAATTTTTTAAAAAAATACTCTTATTACTGTTCATACTTTGAATTCTAATGGCTTCTTACAGAAACTGAAATGTACTTACCTCTTTGCAAGTTCACTGTAACAATATTACATTTATCTGACAAGTGCAAAGCAGCCTCATCCAAGATTACCCTGTAGCAGAAAAAATAATTGCAAATTGTATATTTAGTATACAAGCAACTGGTATTAGTTGATCACATTGAAGACTATGAATATAATTCTCTTCGGTTTACTGTTTCTGAAAAATCTGTCCATGATGGTGGTTTGAAGGCTGGTGACTTATATGGTGTAGACTATAAGTAGGATTTGAGGAGTTTACCTCTCCACTATGAAGATATAATTAATGAGCACTCCTAAGTAGCAGTAGTCTGCTTTAAAAATAAAAAACCCATGCAATTACCAGGGTAAGTTTTATTAGAGTCTGAGCTGCTTTCAATCTATGTGTGAGTTTCTTTCATCTTTATCCACAATTATCCTCTCAAAAAAGCAAAAAAGATAAGAAAAAGATTTAGGCTATCATATTAATTCAGTTTTCTAGCCCAGCCTTTTCTTGGAGGCTATCGCAGAGAAGTGAAAAACATGAAAGTAAAAACGATTTGAACATCTCTTGCTTTTTTCCTGTGTCAACCTATCCCCTTACTTTTTACAAATGGGAAGTAAAAAAAACAAAACAAAACAAAACCTACACACATACACAGTTGGAAGTTTATTGGAGTAAACAGCTAGAAAGAGCAGTCTCTTTATGCATACATGCTTAGAATTGAGTTTGTATTACAGAGATCCATGAACCACAAATATAAGTTAAAATCAATTAAATCAGGTTAAACAAGTGATTACATCCCAAGGGCCTTACTTTACAGACACAGACTAAACTGAAAAATTGTTAAAAACTAAAAATGTACACCCATACCTAGTTTGACAATGTTTTCATAAAAGCTGAAGGAAATAAAGATTGAGGGTTTTGAACTCTTATAAATTTACCTGAGAGTAGAAGATGATTTATCTAGTGCCACACTGCTTGAGATGCTAAATGTTTCAACAGTAAGAAGTGATCTAGTTGGCAAAAATAGAGGCCTAAAAAAGATATAAAATATTATTCCCAACACACTTGGTAAAAAAGACTCTTGAATCACCATAAATAAGTTTGCCAAGATGAAACTTAAAGCAACTGGTCTGATACACACCTTTTGGTACCAGGTGTAGGTCTTTTTTATTTTTTCTGGTATTTTAACTGTTAGAATAATTTTAACGGTTTTCATATTTTATACTTGGTTGTAAATTGCTGTTCTTCCTTTTATGCTGATCTATGGTTCTGTGGAGTTTTACTTATTAGATTTTATTCTATTTTTACATGTGTATTTTTGTTGTATATTGTTATTTTACTGCATACTTTTAAACCACGAACCACCCATGAAGCCTTATGGGAAGGGATAAAAGTCTAATAAATAAATAATAAATACAACAGGTGCCATAAGAGGCTGATATAAATAATACATTCATTTAACTTACCTGTAATTCAGAGCACAACTCCAGAGATGAACGTGAAATGTTGTAATAGAAGCTGGAGGATTATATCCCAACACAGGCTCATCAGAAATGTTCAAAAAATACAAAATCTACAATTACAAAAATGTAAAATTGGGCCCCCTGTATTCTTGTCAAGCAAGATCAGATTTGACGTAATTCATGCACTTCCGAAAGTTTAACAGTAGTCAGAAAAATGGCAAGACAAGTCTTATCTTAGAAGCAGAAATACTTTATGGCAGAGGGAGCATCCAAGAGAATGTTTATGCCCTTGTAACAGTTTCTCTGCTCCACTTCTGGAATGGAGATTTAGTGCCTCTGGGGGCAACTAGAAACAAGTGAAGATGCTACTTTCTTGAATGGGGCAGATCCATGTACGTATAAAGGAGTTGCATCAACCCAATTTAGCAGTGAGCATTTCCACTCATTTCATGGCTTCCTGTGAAAGGCATTAAATCTCTGTTGCACAAGTGTGGGTCTCATTTGCTCAACACAATCAGCAGGACCCTCCACTTGCACAAAGAAATCAGCAGAGGTGTAAGAATTCCAATGGATACTCCCCTAGGAGACCAATTAATCCTAATAAGATCATTCTACCTGCTGGGTACCGTAATGGGACAGACAGAAACAAATGAAAATGCATCACCACCACATGAGTAACAGTAGTCCATGGTACAGTAAGCAAGCCTTCCCGCTCAGAAAGTAAAGACTGGGGCCACATGTACAAGAGACGACAATCTCATTCTGAACTGTTTAAGGTCTTATAAATGAGCAGTATCACATGGACATGGCTTTGTAACTACTTGGCAGCCAAAGGAAAGCTTTCAGCATAGGAGTCCTATGTGCATGGCGGCAAGCTCCACTGAGCAAACCTGCTATCACATTCTGCATTAACTGCAACTTCTGAGCCAATCTTAAAGGAAACCCCACATGATGTGCAATGCAGCAGTTCCATCTGAGCTTCCCAGAGCGCAGATAAATGGGTTTACAGGAACTCAAATACAGACAGGCTGGCTTAGTTCTTGTTTTGCATAAGCATTCTATCTCACTGTCGCATCACAAGCCAAGCACTCCTTAATGCTCAGAAATGGTGTAAGTAGGTGCAGGAGTCTGTTGGAGGGATGTGAGGGAGTTCTCTTATGCAAATAAAGCTCCACTCATCACTTGATTCAATGTTTTGTTAGGTTCCCTAGATTGGAGACAGTAATCCAACCACCTGTTTGGAGGCAGGATGGAAGCGTATCTTGAATCTATTCCAAAATGTACATGTAGTCCCACTTAACCAAGATGAATAATTTGGGTGTAAGTATCCATCTTTGAGAATCAATGCTTCCAGCCAGCTAGTCTCACCATTCAGGGCATTCTTCCACCCCATTTTATTTTTGTTTTCCAAGTGATGGACAACATTCTGCAGCTACTATGCATGGTATGCCCTGTTTTGTTTTGTTTTTTTTTGGGGGGGGGGGATACTTTTTTCCCTACTTTTGAAAATCTAGGAGTTCCTCCCTCTTGTTTTTCATTATTCTTAATTTGGCTCCATTCCTTCCAGCACTCACAATCTGAATTTGCTAGTAGAGGGAATTATCAGTGAAAAAACATTTAGCAAATTAACATACCTGTTCATACCAGCTTAAACCTGAAGGAAGTACTCTATGCTGTAGAGTGGCTCCTCGTACCCCAACAGCAACTAAAAACTCCTACAAAAGGAAAAGTTAGTCTAGCCTGTATAGCAGTACAGTTTCAATGAAAGGCTTTCATTCTGTCCTTGTCAATAATCATTTTAACATCATATCACTTAAAAGCTCGCTGAATTGTAGAGCAACATTCATGACATTGGGAAGACCTGCTCTAAATAAATCGAGTGAATCTAGTACTGGAGCCACTGTGACCAACTTGCAGATAAACTGTTCATCCTGCTCAGAAGGCAAGTGCAGTGTGGTGGTTAGTGCTGGATCAGGCTCCCAGGAGATCCAAGTTCTAATCCCCACTCAGCCTTGAAGCTCACTGGATGAATTGGGGCCAGTCATTTGCAGCCCAGCCTATATCACGGAGGAGATGTTATGAGGATGAACATGGAGATAGGTAAATCACCTAGGATTCCTCACAAAAGGGAAAAAAGCAGGACATAAGTGCAGTGTAACAATATTTGCACGGAGTCTGATGCCATGGTTTTAACAGAGCCAGTGATGGAAAATACTAGAGCACTGCCTTGTCAAACTTTAACATATACTTTCCAAATTGATCAACCAGGAATTAGGAGCCAGTGTCATGGAAGATTAAGATCCAGTTCCCTGTTCTCTAGGTCTTGCCCATCTGGGTAATTAAAAGTATCCGGGCTAGAGCTGAATACTTGGACTACAGAGCTAGTGCCCTGCTTCCTGAAAGACAGTGGGTCTGTGCCGCCCCTAAGGAAGCAGCAATTGAACACTTTGCTGGAAAATCAACATTTGGTTGTCTAAACTTGGACAACTGTCATCTAGTCTCAAATCCTCTATTTCTGGTTACAGTGCTGGAGAAAGAGGTGGTATCTGAATCACAAATAATTTTGGAGAAACTGAGATGTGATTAGCACATGCTTTTAATGTATCCTATATGTTTACTGATGTGGAAATTACAGCTTTTGCTTCTTGCCAATACATTTATTTCACTTTGTAAGGAATTAGACCTAAAATGAACTAGAAGCATGATCACCAGTCTTATTGTTACAGTGGAATTCACTACCTGAAATGTAACAAATCCTGTCAAGAAAGTAAAGGACTGGGTAGCATACTAAATTTTGCATAAGAAGTAACACTGCAAACAGCTGAGAATGAGCTCTGAGTTTGCACTGTTCCCCTTTTTCCCTGCCCCAGTCAGCTCTGACTTCGAAGATGATAAATTTTTCCAGATGACCAGGCAAGGGTCAGTTATTTAGGGTTCTATCAGAGATACACAAGAAGGTCAAAAATACAAAATAAACCTCTGTCAAGAAGGTCGATTTGTAAAGATAAGCCTGGAGGCAGATGTTTTGACACCAGATGGCCTAAAAAAGGAAGCGTTTGTGATACCAGATGGCCTAAAAGGAAGTGTAGGTCAAGATAACCATGTGCAAAAGCAATGGAATGTTCTCTGCTGTGATGTCTTCTGTTACTGAGTGTTACAAAAAGCCAAATGTGTAAGTTCACTGTTTATGATGACTATGCCAGCTGGTCCTGACTGGGCTCACTCTCTATTGTTAGTGTGTACCTACAATAGTCTTTTTAATATAAAATTGCTTGCTGGTGTTGCCTGTCTCTGTCACAGTCAAACAACAGGCAAGATTCTTTTTAAAATGTTTTACAATATCAAGCTAAAAAGTTACATTTCAGTACCAAAAGAAATTACAGTTTTACTTTTTAATGAGCTATGTTGTAAGTATTCATAAAAATCTTGCAAAGAGCTTGGAAGACAGAGATAATAAGTGCCTTTATGAGAACTATATAAAGATATTCCATTCTAAATAACAAACCTTTGTATTGGTCTCTGATTTATTTGATTGAATCTTAACTGCAACGGACAGCATGCTTAAGCAATCCACTCCAACACCATCTGATGCTTTACTGAGACCTTCTTCCTCCGAAAGATAGATAGTAGGTTCTAACCAATGAGGATGTGTTGTACTTGGCAACCTTATTTCAGATGGAGATACAATACCTTCCACTACACCTGCAGAAAAATAGCTACGTAATTAGACAGTCCTTCAATTTACCTTGGAATTTAAAAAGACAGACATTATTTTACTCTAAAACTAGTCAGGGTCTGGTTTAAATTTAAAACAACTATGTCCCGTCATATAGAACTGCAGAGAATTCTTCTAAAATCAAGTTATCTAAATATTACAGCTTGCCAACAATCAACAATTTTGTTGCATATATTAACAAAATAAAGCAGAAAAAACTCAAGCAAAACTTTAGAGCAGTGCATATGAGTTGATATTCTCTCCTGGGTCCATAGAAATCTCAGCACCATCTACAGATTTCCAGAGCCACCATCTCACTGTCTGAATGATCAAGATATGGTTTTGCTGCTGTGGAAATTCTTATAAAAACTAACTATAAGTCCATTCTGAGTTGGTTCTTTCACTGTGCAAGACTATGGTTATGGCATCAATTCTTAACTATGTCCTTGGTCTTCCCATGAGAAGCAAAAGCTCATACCATGTCCTAATTTGTTTGGCATGGTATATAACTAGATTCATATACTGGAATGCAAAAAAATCCATGATTTCATGAATCCTACTATTGAATATAAGAGCAGAGCTGCCAGAGATCATGATAATCAGGTGGAACCTCCATGTTCCAAAGCAGTGTATCTTTACCCCCTGTTAATAAGAGACAATAATTGGGTGTGGCCTCTACTTTTGTGTCACTTCTATAACCTTCCTAGAAGAAGACTCAATAAAAAGCTGAACATGGTACTGGAAGGCCTTAGCCACAAACAGTGGAATTATTAGTTTTTCTGTTTAGGGGACCAAACAGGAATATAGAAGTGTTAACTCTTCCAGTTATAAGACCCACAAACCCCTTTCCAAGTGCCATCAAGATATTGTATGGCTTCCTTATTTATTTATTTGGAGTTTTTATATGCCGTCCCATTTGCATGAGCCTCGGGACAGCTTCCAACACAATAAATAAACAAGCATATAAACAATACATATTAAAATCTGGATTCACCCTGGCTGTAAAATTAAAACCAATAAATATTAACAGTTATTAAAATATTGTTTAAATAAAAAGGTCTTGGCCAGGCGCCGAAAAACAAATAACAATGGCACTAGGCGGACCTCTCTGGGAAGCGCATTCCATAAGTGGGGCGCTACCGCAGAGAAAGCCCTCCTCCGGGTACTCACTCTCCTAATACCTTTCACAGAGGGTTAGTTTACTTAAAACACACATTTCCATAGATCTGAAACCAACTTAATACTTACACTGACATTTCAAGTTTCATACCTTGATGATACAAGCTGAGACTACTTGAGTGGAGACAGATGTAATGCTTATCTTCAAAACCTTCATACTTCGTTACACAGAACAATGAACCACTATTGAATTCAAGCCAAAACTCTCCATGTTTGTTGTCAGATACACTTCCATCATCTTGCTACAGAAATGGTAAGAAAGGTTTATCAGTGTCATGAACCTTTAGAGATTTGGGACTTTACGAAAACATGTAGTCTTATTCCTGACATGTGCCTGCTTAATCTACATAGGGATTGTATATTAATCTAAATAGGGGCTATATTCAAAACAACCTCTATTAAAAAAAATTCCAACAAACCCCACATACTACCACAGGTCAGCATAGTAAAATACCAGTTCATGAAATATGGCAAGCACAAGAATTCTCATTCAAGCCACACTAGATTTTTCCCATCTAGAAGTCTCACCTTTATATCTGTGAATATGGACACTAACCCATGGTTAATATTCAAAAGAACTGAGAGAAGATTTTGTGTGTTCCTATTCTGGGATTCAATTTTTTTCCTTCTCCGTGAACAGTAGTTTGGATCAAGGGTTGAATAATATTGTAATGTTTCCTCTTCAGAGCCACTGTCATCATCTACAAGAACAGGTCATTGTTAAATCATGTATATAAACAGCTTAGCAAAAATAAATCAATCTAGGGAAGGCTTTTTTAGCTTTTTTTAAGTAAACAAAATTAAAATATGCCCCACTGGGGCAGAATGCGACCCCTTCCTCTTTCTCAATTCAGCAGCTTCAGCTGATTTAGATAACCTGCCACACAGATCACCAAGTACCTGGACTCTCCTATCATTAACACCGAAATATTAGATGAGCTGTACAGAGTATTACCATAGTGAATGGTAGATCTGAACTGGTTAAAACTGTCTTTACTAAAGGTGTTTATAAGCTGGCTGGCCACTGAAAGTCCAACACCATAAGAAATATTTTCAAATGTTTCTACAGGAGATGGAGCTGTGGGTTCCCACAATAGTAAGTCATTACTGATCCTAGGAAGAAAGAAAAAAATGCCAGTATTAGTCAGATAAACATGGAAATCATTGGTATATAAAACTTAAAACAAATCACAATCAGTGTCACTATGGTAAGGTGGCCTGGTATGTAATGTTTTGATTTGCATGCAATGCCAGACTACTGTGGATTAATTAACCCATGGGACATCACAGTATGTTCCAGTCACCATTTTGACTAAGTTGCATTGACTATGCTGTGGTATGTCATGTGAACCCAGTCACAGCACCTGACCACTGCAGCTTGCATATTCAAAATGGGAGCTTGTATGTACACAGGGTTAATTAACCCATGGCAGCTTAGTATTATGTCCAAGCCAGCCCATTTACCAAAACAATTAACAGTTGACCAGGGTTGTATCTAGTTCTCAGCTGCCCCTTCCTTTTGCAGCTCCTGAAACTCTGGAGCTGTGTGGGAAATAAAGCAGCAGAGGTTAGCAGAGGGGCAGCTATACCAGGAAAACAAGTAAAATGTTTGCCTTCCATCCCCACTGCTTCCATTTACAGAGTGCCTCCAAAGAGATCCGAGGCAGAGTTCAAACTAATGAGGAGGAACAGTGTTTTGTACTTACCTGTTATAAAGCTTCTCATAAAAACTTTTGCTTGGTAATGTTAAATACACATTTGGTAACATAAGTTCCAGCACATAATGGGAGTTGCCAATTGCTTTATCCTGAAATTCAGTCATCTCCACTGCATCTCCAGGCATCACCATCTAGAAATTATAACACCTCCATCAGACAGAATAATGTGCAAAAGAAGAATAACATCCTTCATTAAACTGGGGCTGCAAATCCAAATGTGGTATCCTAGTGGTTATAGCATAGAGCCCTTAACGAAGCATTCTAGGCATATCTTGAAATAAGTTCGTAGTTCCTATCAATCTAAAATTGTTAAAGATTTGTCAAAGTCATTTTGCTGTTTGAGCCTTCTCAACCAATGTACGCATTTGAGGTGGCAATGGCTACTATACCATCCAGCTTCTCAAGATTCTGAGAATCTTTTCCTTCACTATTAAAAATTCTGGATTTTTTTTCCTTTGCAATACAACACAAACAGTAAATGTTTCCCACACTTCATGCCCCCCCTCCAATCCTTCCCCCCGAGCTTTCCCTCTCATTTTTCATATCACCCAGAACTTAGTAAGTCAAGTCTAAAGTAAAAGGGTTCTGTCAAGCATGTTCTTTGCTGGCCTACGCTGGTTTTGTGGTGCACCAAATTACTCTTCATACAATTTTGCAAAACAGAACGTTTTCCAGAAGTTCCAATGCTATATTTTTCTGAGGACAACTTTACATACCACACATCTGTGTTCATCCATACTTACCTGGATAAACATCAATTTATCTAGTTAACACCAATTATGTTATATGGGTTAAATATAGAATATGAACTTCTAAGGCAACCATTGACAAACTCAAGTGCTCCATTGGCCATGGAGAAACTGAAGAATAAGGTACAATAAACCCTTTCTGTACAAAGTGCATTTAGCTCCTAGCTGGGTCTAGACCAGGCTTATACATGGTACAGTTGCCCTCAACTGCTATCCTTCCTCAATAACAAATGAAGAAAACCTGAAACTAAGACTAGAATTACTGTTTGTTTCACTTATAAGCATGAGAAGAGCTATGCTGGATCTGACCAAAGGTGTATCTAGTCCAGCATTCTGTTAACTTAGCAGCCAACCAATTGCCCAGGGAATTCCAACAAGCAACCAGCACCCTCCTGCCCAAGTTCCCCAGGCTGGGACCACGTATTCATATCCATATTTTCATGAAACAGAATGTTCAGCAGGTTGTTCTCAATCAGACAACGAAATGGAACAGATAGGCAGTGCAGAGAGTGAGTGATGCTGAAGGTGCTAGTTATCTCAGCAAAACGAAAACTTGTTGACATAAGACATAGCAGTTTTCTTTGCCTATCTGTCCTAAAAACAATGTGCAGTTTTTCAGTGTTGTAGAATGTGCCATGTACAAACTGAGACAAACTGGAAACTACAAAGCAAGAAATGGAATGGTTAAACATCAGAGTACTTTGTGTGAATGAACTAAAGTGAACTGGAATGAGATATTTTTAGTCAGAGTGTTTTACTCTGAAAATGACAAACTCAGAAGACATGGAGTATATCTGAGGCAAGACATAGCATGGCCATTAAAGAGCTATAATGAGAAGTTTGAATGGTATCAATCAGAATTCTTAGAAACCCTATTTATGTAATCATCAGAACCCTATCCTCCTAAGTCTATGCTCCAAGAACAGATCCTGAAGAAGAAATAAAAAATGTTGTTTGGGCATTATAGAGGAATGTAATAATACACCAAATCATAATTATAGGTGCCTGAAATGCAAAATCAGAAAACAAAGCAGAATCAAATGTTGTGGGAAACTTTGGTATAAAAATGAAATAAAAAATATGTATCTCAGCACATAAATGGAATGGCAGAAAGCAGCCCCAACATGACACAAATGATAGCTGGCTGTGCTGCATAACCTGCTGTAATCTCATCATTGTTACTGTCATGGATGAGCAGGGAACTAGCAAAATGAACCTGCGTCATACTTGGGCTAGAAGAACTAAATGCGCTTCAGAAATGGACTAGATGTCCCAAATAAACACCATATGCTTGTGCTTACCTCTTCATTTTCAAACATTACCCTACGTGAGGAAAAGGGAGATGGCTCTGGTCTTCTAAGATCACACACATCTTTCAGGGAATGACATCCTCCTTCTTCCTCCTCCTGAAAATGGCCATCAACTTCTTCATCCTCAAGAGCCATCCTTTCCAGAATGGAGTGTACAGCAAGTGGGTTTATTTTTAGCACAATCCTAATATCCAAACAAGAGAAAGAAATAGACTAATTTCACCAAAATTACAAGTTTCACTGAAAAAATAAGTATTTGTGAACTTCCTGCAATATTTCAGGCATGCACAGGAAATTTATCTTTATATTCTACTGTACATTTATACTCATATACTTGCTCTATACTGTAGAATATTTGTGACAAGCATGAATAAGCTACTGCCTCAGCCCTTCCGATTTTTGAATCTTGGTTGGGGAAGATGTGTCTATCAGGTAGCACTGCTGCACCAAAATGAAAATGATTACAGAACTGGTATTAAGAAGGTAAATAATACCTTTCTTACTTACCTACCTACCTTAATTTACCTTTATTAAGAAGGGAAATAGTAATTATAATAGTGGTACCTATAGTTTTAATTACATAAGCTATATTGGCACAAAATCTGTAGTATAGTAATTAATGTGAAGCCTAGGAAGAAACTGAATTTGTAAGACCTCCTTCTCTTATTCTATTGCTGAGTGTTCTATTTTCATCACTAACATTTAACACTACTGCAGTTGGAAAAGAAATCACATGCAAGCCATATAAGTTGTCAAAAATGGTCCACCACTTTCAGAGATCATTCCCATTATCAAGAATACTTCATTTCACTTGCCAGCCATGCCCTGAATTACAATCAACTCTGCTCCAACAGTATGGCTTTCCAGTAGAACATTATAAGCAGCTCAGATATACTCAAAACTATACCATGGGTGACATCTGACTATACACCAAATTTCTAGGCATGGAGATGGAAGACCATCTGTCTTGTTTTACCGTGGCCAGTCAAAGTTGTCTGACGAAATCATCTCTCCAACTACACCACTAGAAACTTGAAAGAACTGTATAGCTGATTCCTCTTTGCTTTCTTCAAATGATCCTAAGGTAAAATCAAATAATATTATGATCCATGTGCTTGCAATTGTACAGCCACAGTATAATGTGAACAAAATTTGGACTATTTTAAAATTAGTATTTTATCAGTTTTTCATGACCCAACAACAGTCTCCTTCAAACCATTTTTCCTTTTTAAGTCATACAATGGGGGAATATTAACTCTTTAGCTATGGAAACAATTTAGCTATTCACCTACTGTATGTGTCAAAAGACTTATAGATCATAATCACTCAAGAAATATGAACTGAAGCACCTGGATACACTGCAATGGATGCGTATCAAAAGTTATCACAACATAAATCATAATTTGTAAGCAGTAAGAGGCCTTATGCATGAAAATTCTGGGTAACAAAAGCCTGCATATCCAACATTAGTAAATAAATAGCTGCCATCTAATAACAGGCCCCCACATTTGCTGGGATCAACAAGCTAAAGCCATCCATCCATTGCATACCACCATTGACTCTGTCTTACCAGTTAGCTCTTTAAAGGTGAGCTCTAATATAACTTGCTCTGGAGTTGGTCCTCCTGTAAACTCAGTTTTAAATTCAATATCTGTACATTCTAACTGAAGAATTTCCTTCTGAAGTGATTTCTTAAACCAAGGTCCTCGTTCTGGATCTGATCTTAGGTCAGGTATTGGGAAGCGAACTGAGAGCTTCAGAGTCGGTGCAGTCACTTGTATTGATACTTTGCAATTTGCAGGAGTACGTGAATCATCCAGAAAAACTTCAGCAAATGCCTTATGCTAGAACAGTTGCAAAGCAGAAAGTTAAATTAAATTTAAACATGAGAAAGCAGGGACGTGTCTAAAAAAAGGAGATGACAGGCATTAGTTTTGGTCTAAAAAGACCCTATCCCATCTCTAACAGCAGTGTTTGCTTCTCTATGAATTATAGAACAAAAGAATGCATGTTGGCGAAAAAGTCCTGTGTCAAGCAGAAAGTACTTCTGAAAGTAAGTCCCACAAGGTGGTGGCCCCCTGCTACATTTTCCCACTGCCACCCTGGCTGCATCTCAAATGGCTCTGGATGTCCAACACCCCTCAGGAGAAATATTTACAGGCATCCAAAAGTAACGGGCTTTACAGATCCCAGGAAGAGATAAATTTTAGTTCAAATTATAGAAAGGTTTAGTGGCTTATGATGCTTTGTAACACATTGGATGCCTTTAACAGCTTATGCTGTTTGGTATATTAAAATGATTAAACCCATTACAAATGAAGGGACAGTAACCTATTCAACATTAACACTCATGCAAATTACATTGCATTAGCCTAAGCTCATGCAATAGTGTCCATTGGCCCAGAACAGGGCCAATGGAGAAGCACAATGCCCGCAAACACAGTTGCTGCTACACTAGAGATAGCTTATGGTGGCACAACATACTTTGCGCTATTATCCATTGGCTGTATCAAATAGTTTGGCCTCAGATATGGTTTACATTACAGATGAAATACAGGGGATGAAACCTGTGTCTTACCTCACCTCCCAATGCTTATCAAGTGGAGTTACAATACACACATTTCAGGAGGTAAGTAATTGAGTGCAGAGCTGGGATAGAATGATGAAATTACATGAAAATGTGAACCAGCTATAAGAATATAAATACAGAAAAGGTATAGTTTTTTCTTCATGATTTCTATCTGTGAAGAAAATATTACAGTTATGCAAATAAATAAATAAATATTATCTACTTACCAAGCTAATGTGTTTATTGTATGAGGTGTACATGTGTGATGCCATCATCTCTACTGTGGTTAATTTTTGTGGCTGGAGCAATGAATTTAGTCTGTCCACAATACTGATATCCAGCTCACAAAATGCTGGGCTGAGCTTGACTTGCAATTCTGCTTTCTGGGGAACTGAGCTCAGTCTCCCTTGGCTACCCTGTTACAAAAGTATACCAAAAGTCATGCTATTTTCTACACAGCTACATAAAAATCAGTATAAAAATTAATTTAATCTTTTCAGCTCTACCTGGGGTCCTTTGTGGTCTGAATGCTTGTAATGCAAGTGAAGGCATGGGGGAGGGTGTGACAGGCTTCCTTGTTTTTCAGAGTCAAACATTAACAACTAAAAAAAACCCAGAAAACAACAAACCCAGTTAGAGTATGCATTAAATATTATACCAGTGATATCTATTTATCTACAGATAGACATATTTGTGTATGCTAAACAAGCACCATCAATTTCTTTCTTTACCAGATATTTGTCTAAGCAAGAGGCTTATCTATAAAACAAACCTTTAGGGATTTCTCTCTCCCTCTTTTATGCACTGGCTAGGTAAACCTGCAGGTATGCAATACTGGCACCTCAAGGTACAACTTCTTTTTACATCCTAAACTGATAGAAAATATGGAGTTCCAGAAAATATAATAAGGGTTAAATCCAACATTTCACTAGCAGCTGTCTGTTAGTACGACAGGACTTCCTTCCCCTCTCTTCTCCCCAGCAGCTTCCTGCATCACCATGATGAGCCTTGGAGGGTTTCCCAACATTCTTGACCCGATTTTGAGAAGATGCAGGGAGGAAAGTGGGGGATCACTCCCTCCTGGTTCTACTGAAGCAAGTGCTCCCATGAGTGGAACAGCAGCATCAAACTCACTCCTAGGAGTTTTCTCAACGCATTTCAACTGCTTGCATTAACAAGGCATACAGATTTTTACCTCTGTATAATGAGGTATTTCAGAATGAGAGTCTGTAGAAAAAAGGCATTCCAGAAGTTCCATTTGTCCAATAGATAAATCTGTACTCATGCAACGGGAGGCTGATCGTTGTCTTTGTTCATAAGACACTTTGATGCTTGTACCTATAAATCTACAGTGAGAAACAAAATGTAAAAGAGGTGCATAAATTGCACACCCAGAATCACCCTACAGTGAGAGCAGTTTAAAATGATGTTGAAATTCATCAGATAATTAAATTTCAAATGTCACTTGAACAAAACAAGGATTAAAGAAGGCAGATATTCCTGGCGCTAGGAAAACTCAGTATTGCTTAGTTCACTGTGGAACACTTAAACATAGACCAAGTATACTATAAGGCAAGAGTGCATTTTAAATTTAAAGGCTATTTCAGGGAATAACACCCACCCCTAAATCTCCTAAACCAGCAGCCACGAGCTGGTTTTGCTTCCCCACAGTCACTTTGGGCATGTTGCTTCCCTTCATTGGTTTCTATTGCTACCTGTCAGATGTATATGAGATCTACAAAGCAGTGAGTGGGAATGCTAACATACACAAATTTGAAGGCAGAGTAGGGACTGAATGGCTAAACATAAAATATAATTCAGTAGCTGTGCAGTACATTCACATGTCACCATGTATGTCCAAGAAGAGTATATAGTTCACTCATAGCACCCCCAACACTACAAGCCTAAACAAAGGACTATATATTTTCACATAAAAACACTTTTCCTACCCTACCATTTGGTGGTGGCCTGATGTGCAGCATACTTCAACCTATGATCCATGATTATTATGGACCTTAGCCCCACAAATATGCTTCAACACTTTGCCCAACACACTTCAGTATGGTAGAACTTCCAGCACAAGATACACATTCTGTACAGCATTTCAGAGATTAGCATTCCACCAACTATTGCCCTCTTAAGATACCATCACTGACATCTTAGCATACAATATATCCAGAGAGTAATACTCATGTTTTCTTTTTGCACATGAAAAATCCTAAGGAATCCAGTGCCTTCAACTGTGAATCCCTCTTTCTAGTTTAAGTAAAAACTTATCCCAGGGCAATGATCATGTGCAGGGTAACTTGTTACTCCAGTATAATTTCAGCTTGTATGAGTTGCCTGAAGTGTATGTTGATATAACTTTAGGTCGGAGTTTATGCAAACCTCTTCAATTATCCATGCCAACAAAATGATAATCATGTACACAAGCTACTTTCACAAAATACTCTTTTCCCCAGTATGTATGGCCATGTCATCACTGCATCACATGCCTCATCTATGCCCTTTGCAAATAAATAGGCTTATATTTGGTAGAAGAATAATGAAGGAACACAGGAACAGCAGAGCAGAAGTATACACTACGGATTTCACTCTCCCTCCACACCATTACCTCTTGCAATCAGACTTCCATGTTTGGGTTTCAAGATGAGTTGCAAGGGTGTGAGTACTACCATCTGGACCAAGAGTGATGGGATGGGCAAACGCTGGCTCTGACCTCTCTGCCCATGGTAGCAATGTGGTTTTATGGGATACAAAATCACCCATCCACAAGAACAAAATTATTCTTTCACAAACTAGCTGGAAGGTTAAGCTGTTATAGAGATAATGAAAGACCGTTCATTTTGTTTTGTCACACTATCATATGAATAAGAAAAGTTGTACCTAAGGTGATCATGTGAACAAGCCTTCGCAAATATTTCCCGGAGGGATAGAAAGTCTTCAGCCGGAAACTGAACCAAATCAACCCTTTCTATGCGAGTGAAAAATTCCTGTGCCATTGGTGTCAGTGGACTGGCATTTAGTGACGTTTCAGGTGGTGGTAAAGGATCAATATGAAGCACTGAGACTGAAAAAGCACCCACTGCTAGCCTGAAAAGAAGTTCAGGTCTAGATTCATCCACTGAAACAGATCTGGATGGAAGAGCTGAAATGACATAACAGTTAATAATGTTTAAGGTGTTTTTCATAGTATGTCTTATAACCCATTCCCTGCCCACTGCCCACGACATAGTGCTCATAAAATCACTTTCCCTTTTTAAGCAGAGCAATGAAAGCACCTCCAATAACACCCAAAACTACATACCATATGCCAAACACATAAAAAACACGATAAGGCAACTGAGTGATATTAAATTCTATGCTAAATTATATTCTATACCCTCTGAGAAAAAAAACTTCTCTTTGTTTACTTACAAGGCCTTCGTAATGGCACAGGATGTACTACACTGGGTATAAATGATGACCCTCTTACTTGTGGTGGTTCCAGCTTGTTTTGATCAACAAAATCTCCCCACAGTGGTTGCTGCTAAAATAAAAAGATAACCAGTGTTATACTTGTGTAACACATAACATCAACCTAATATAAGGGAAGATGTGTTCTCTTTGGCATGCACTGTTTCATCATGCTATTGTTACAGTGTGCCCATCAACCATGGCTTGTTCTGTGGTTCTCCCACTTCCATGTGTGTCTGTGCATTTCCTTAGGCCTAGGAAGGCCTCGGCAATCATAGGCAGCATATACATACGTGTATAAATAAATTTAAAAACCCTACCACTACCACTCATGTTTGGCCACATTTTGCCACCAAGGAAAGATATCTTGCCCTTAATAATGAATATAATGTATAAGTTTATAATGCATAAATGTAAAATACTTTATAAATTATTTATATATAGCCACCAATATGCATGGCACTTTACAGAGTAGAAAGGGAACAGCTCCTACTCATGAGGAGTTTACAGTTCAATTTGATATAGGAAAAAGAGGGGAAGCCAAAACAAACAAACAAACAAACCCATGAGTAAATCAGGTACAAATGTTAATTAAATTCACAGACTTAGTCTTAACTACAGGAGAACATATGAACTAGGAACTTATGCCCAAACCTGGACAAAAAAAGATAGTCCTACAACTGTAGGGGAGAAGATGCCAGTCATTCCTTGGTCATGCTAACCTTCTACTTCATACAAGTCACACATCACAGCACCGAATACAATTTCTGGGACTAAGCCCTGGCCATATATAAGATTGATAGTATAAAAGAAGAGCTAACAACAAAATAAAAGTTCTGTACCATTTGTAAATCCTTAGCAGACTTCAAAGTCAAGTACATTTTGAACTAAAACTTGGGCTTTAAAAATACTGTAGGTATGTAAAATTTAACTGCATGCACACAAGACTTGCTATTACTGATTCCATCACCAAATGAAAATAAGCTGAACAACAAATACTCTAGAAGACTGCAAATAGTAAACTTCTGAGATTTGAAGTCATTAACTGGCTAATACCATATGCACTGTATTTCTGTTAAAAGACTATGGAAGAGCCACAAAAGGCTTCTCACATAAAATATTGGCACCTCCAAACATGTGATGCCCAACTCAGACTTAAAACAAAGTCTCCTAGATCATCTTCACTGGTTGTGTAAGGTTGGTTCACACCTATAATGGCTCTTGTTCAAACAGTGTTTCATTAAATTATGGTCTTGTCTATACCTACAGTTTTGCTCAGTTGAAAACCAAGTTTCTCTACTGTAATTTCTGGGTGGTACTGTCAAAAGTTACAACTGGCTATACTATCACCACAGCCAGTAACAACTGAAACTGAAAACTATGTTCACACCTCCTACCCTCAAGCACTATGAAAACTGAAACTGAAAACTGAAACTGAAAACTATGTTCACACCTCCTACCTATCCACTGACAGTGCTTTCACCCATTTAGTGTCAATTTAGCATCTATGACTGATATATCAGTTTAAAGTAATGAAACTGAAATGCAAAATTCATTTCTTAAAAACTAAACACTTAGGAGAAACATACCACTGCAGTACCAAGTGGAGATCCTGCTGGAGTAGTAGTGTATGTACTAGATAAAGTAAGATCTAAATCCATAGTTGGTGGGTCTCCAAGAGGTGGCAGAGAAGACAGACTATGAGACATCTCCATGTCAGCCATGGAAAAGAAAACTTCTTCTTCTAGGAAAACAAGGGTTTGTTTGCAATTAAAACAATTAATGTTAACTAAAAAGTACAGAGAAGTCAATCATCATTTTATAAAAACCCAGATCATATTCCTAACCAACAGTATATTATGTTTTTGAAACCTCTTGTGTGAAGATTCAATAAAGCAATGAAAAACTACTGAAATAAGTATAAGAGGTGCATAATATTGGAAGGGGAGAACCACACTTATTGTAATTTCATCCAAACACAGCCACAACTAACCATGCAATCTTACAAACGTTTGAACAGAAAAAGCCCTACAACTCCCTTGCTGGAGAATGCTGGGTGCTGTTCCCCATTTTTCCTTCTAAACATGCACAGGATTGTACCTTTAACCATAGTTATGGCTATGTTTAAATGGAGTAAAAATGGAATGAGAAGCAGCGCTGTCCCCGTTCCCATATTATGCACCTCTTATACTTATTTCAGCAATTTCTGCTACATATTTTTATTTTAAGGCTATCTCAGGAAGAACAGATAGAATTCATAAGTAAGAGAAAAGGAACTCTATTTTGTTTATTGCCTGCAATTTATGTTTGCTTGAATTATTCTTTTTTAGGCATTTTGAACTGTACAAATGACAAAGCAGGACAGAAGACTTTAAGATAAGTTGGTCAGATCCTGAGCCCTTAAGATAATTTTCTGTTTGCATTGCCTTTATAATTTTTACACTGCCTTGTAGAAATATTTACTTGGCCTTTGATTTTTCCACATTTTCTTGTATTGCCAGCTGTGATTGAAATGGACATAACTGGTACTGTTAGCACTTCACACATTGTGGTGCAAAACTTAACAAAACCAAATGGCACTTGTTGCTTGCATAAGTATTCACTACTCCCTTTGCTGTGATGTATCTAAATAAGCTCTGGTGCAATCCATTGGTTCCAGAAATCACAAACTAAGATCACTTTTGTAGAATCCCACTGGTATATGATCTCAGATTAAAACTTCCAGTTTCTAAGGTGTCATCAAAACAAATCTTGGCTAAAGTTCTGCAGAAGCACCAATTAGGGTTATGTTTTAACCCATCCGCCCACCCACCCACCCACCCCAATTATGAACATCCCCTGGGAACACCATTATTACGCAATTGAAAGAATATTGCTCAACTATGCCTATACTCCACCTCAGATATGCAGATGATACCACCCTCATGGCAGAAAGTGAAGAGGAACTAAAGAGCCTCTTGATGCGGGTGAAGGAGAAGAGCACAAAAGTTGGCTTGAAACTCAACATTAAGAAAACTAAGATCATGGCATCCAGTCCTCTCATTTCCTGGCAAATAGATGGGGAAGAAATGGAGGTAGTGACAGATTTTATTTTCCTGGGCTCCAGGATCACTGCACATGGGGACTGCAGCCAAGAAATTAAAAGACACTTGCTCCTAGGGAGGAAAGCTATGGCAAATCTAGACAGCATACTAAAAAGTAGAGACATTACCCTGCCAACAAAAGTTCGTATAGTCAAGGCTATGGTTTTCCCAGTTGCAATGTATAGCTGTGAAAGCTGGACCATAAGGAAGGCTGAGTGCCGAAG